AAGCAATCAAAAGCAAACAGCTGATGTGTGCTAACATTGCAACAGCTTTGTCTTACCACATCTGAGAGCTGCATTTAATTGACATGAGTGCCAAGGGTAACAAGCTGACAATTATTGTAAACATTTTCTTCCTTTGCCTCACTGTAACATATGATCCTCTAAAAGCTGCAGTAGCGATGTGTTTTGTGATTGCTTTGCACTTTCACTGGGGCGTCCCTGAGCAAGAATGATTGTTAAGGCAGTCATTGTCTTTTTTGAGTTGCCACCCTGTGAGATCTGGGGAGCAGGGGGACTTTCCTCTGCCTGGTCCTGCAGCCATGCCCCACTTTGTGCACCCTCTGGTGCTGACGCAGAGGTTTGCTTCCTTTGGAGAAAAGTCATAACCTTAGCATCTTGGCACACTCCTTTAGGATTCCGTGGAAGACTGAATTGGATAGATAAGATGACACTGCCATTAGCTTTTAGCTAAGAAAAATCAAAGGGCTCATAAATTATCTTCCTGGTAGCAAAGCCATATGAATGAATTAATGTATCAGAGTATCTGAGATATACTTTTTTAAAATCCCAGAGGAGGCATCAAGACCACACTGAGATCTTCCCCTGGGTGCCAGGAAATACAGCCAGGCTGAGGAGGGCATACCTGGCCCTGGTCCTCCCCGGGGGATAAAGGGCAGAGGGGCCAACAGAGCCAAGGGAGGGGTCCTGCCATATTCTGAAGGTCTTTATTGGGGTTCTGTCTCCCAGACTGCATTGATGTACTTGGTTGGGGATGGCAAGGAAAGCTGTTGGCACAGGAGAAACTGAGGGGCAGGGGCTGGGGCAGCACAGTCCCTCACACCTCCAGCGAGGAAGAGAAAAGAAAATGACAGTGCTTCTTCTGTGCAGAGAGACAGATACTTCAATCATTGCCACCAAACAGCCAGGATCTGCTGCCTGAAAAACAGAGAACAATTTTGCAGGTTAATGAGTTAGTAACAAAGTCCTTCAAATGCTGACTTCTCCTCTAAGGAAAAATAATTAAACAAAACAAAGCAAAGAAGTAAATACCTGCTCTGAGAAGGAAGTTCTGCAATCTTAAGGGAGATCACAAAAGGACAACAAAAGATCTTGACTGTCTTGCAGCTGTGTTAGCAACTGGGGAAACACTATGAAATCTGCAGGCACCAAGCAGTCAAATGGTCAGAGCACTGGAACTGTACGCTAGATATGAATGTTGTGCCATATTTGTACAGCGACTCAGGTTTTCACAGACATATGTGTCCTGACAGCCTGTGGTTCCCAGAAGTGTAGGAAAAATTTCAAGCATTGCTCAGAAATTCAGAATAATAAGATATTTTCAATCTTTCTTTGCTGTTTCTTCCTGCTGTTTGCAGTTTCTCCCATGTTATCTTCCTGATCTCTCTCCTTTTTCTATGCCACTGGTGGTAGGCAGGTTACATACAGAAGAGCATTTTACAGTAAGTGAATAATAACTTCTTCAGCAGACTACAGAGTGAAAGCAGGCACAGAAGTGTTCATTGAAAAGCCTGGGGAGCTTTTCTGGTTATTAAATGTATGTGCCTGCCACTCTAGTGCCTGTGGGCTGCTGCAGCGGCTGCCCAGACAATACTGTCCTACCAGGTCAGCTGGGAGCCTGGAGAGCTTTGTGGGGGCTTCATTAGTGCTGAGCAGTGCAGTATGTGGGGAACCAGTGCATTTTATTGTTGTGCTAATGGTTATTTTTTTAAAAGAACTGCCTTTGAAAATTAGAATTCGTAAATGGGAGTTTAATTTTGTCGGGACTGTTATTACCTTCCGTGTTAATCGAGTACTAACCAATTCTGAATAATATGCCTATCGACATTTATCTGCTGAGTGGCAGGGCTAGAAATGCACTGGGTTTTGGCAGGATAATAGTTGGGTTCTTGTAAGTAAACCAAAGGCTTTCCACCTGCTGCTAGGTGTCTTGTTCCAGAGGGCTATTTCTCACCAACCTATCACTGAGTCATGTGGATGGCAGTACTTAAGCACTAAAATAAACTTTAATTTGAATCATCAGGATCCTGTTCAACTTGTACCACATTGTCAGTGGTGGGCAACACAGCTCACAAAACCTGAATGGCCAACACTTGAAGTGTGAACTCACTACAAACTGATGTTTTCAGGACTGTCCATGTTGTTCTGGGTCAATTCCATAGGTATTGCAGTGAGCTGCTCAGTGACAATACTGAGAGGTATTTAAACTTTCCATTCTATAATGAGGGAGGTACAATAAAAAGCATCCCTATAACGCTTTGTTTGAACACTGCTTGGGCACATTCTGAGGGATTTTTCTGCCTCGATTTGCCTCTAGGCCCAATGGGCCATCTTGTCTGACCCAAGTTCCTGGGAGCATGTGGAGTTTTTTTTATTATACTACTTGCAGAGAAATTATTTCTTTTAAAAGACTCAACAAAATTATGAAGAGAGTAGTTGATCAGACGAAATCACCTACTTCAATGAACTACGTCAGTGAAGTTTAAAGAAGTCTTCTGTGGAGACTCTGGTGTTCACAGTAAAGAAGCACTAGGAATATTTGTTTATGATTTGTAGCTGCATAACTATTTCTGTTTTTCTCACCATTGAAGGTGATTTAAATACAAGAAACTTGCCTTTAATGCAACATATACTTTTCAATATACCCTCAAGTTCTCTTACTGCTGTGGAAAATAATAGACAGATGTACCCATTGCAGCTGATGTAAGATGATGCATCAGTAAAAGAAGAAAAAAAACCCAAAAAAACCTAACCAAGCAACAAAAACTAACCACAAAACCCAAAAGAAGCCACTTGACTTTGAATTAATGCAAATAGTCAAAAATTACTCAGTATAAGGATGTTGAAAAGGTCTTAATAAATACCAAACATCATTCATTTGGCCAGACATTAATGTAAGCAACTTGCCTATCATACAACTTTCTGGAATCAGTGTTGTTAGGTTATTGTCTGTGAAGCAGCCTAAGAAGCAGCAAGTACAAGATAAAAACAGAACAAGAGGACTGCTTAAAATGTCAGACTTGCGGACTCAATGCATACTTTTAAATTTGGAGATGTAACTTAAAAGTCACAAGACAAAAGTGTTCCTCAAACTGAAGGAGTTTTCTATGTGCTTCCAGCTCTGTACACAGTAAAGAAAAATGTTTCACTTTCTCTGTCTTTCTAAAGAAAATCACACTGAAAGGGGAAATTCTGACCCTCTACAATCAGCAAGTACTTAAATTTGGAGAAAAATGGGGAGCTTGTATGATTTACAGTCTGCATACCACTTGGTCATTAGCAATTCCAAAAGATGTTGGGGTATTTATTAATGTATTCTATTATAGTCACACCCATTTTATATGTCTTTCTGTATTTTAAGAACCACTATGTGGTAAAAGCTGAATATCTATTAGCTGGAAATATGGTAAGATGTCTCATGATATGTGAAGTCCATAAGTAATTTAACAGAGTATGAGAAGAAATAAAGATTGCATATGTGGAAATGAGAGACCATGAAGTTTAAGATGAAACAAGAGTTTCAGCAAAGCAGTTACTACAAGATGAAGATTTGTAGCAGTTTTGGTGTGTTTTCTTTGTTTAATTTGCCTTGAGTGCAAAAAGGGACAAACCCCCCTATTTAAAAAAATCAGTACTGTAGGTGTTATTGGTGAAAGGTCTTGGCACTGTTTCAGAAACTTAAGATAGAAAACTGTAGAATAAATTAATATGTGAAGGTAATTTATTGTAATGAACATGACTATAGTCAAAGTTCATTTTCAGATTAAAATCTGAAAAGATAAAAAACAGTGAGTCTTAAAAGTACCAAGGAATATAAATCTGCATATATTGTAAATGGTGTAAATTCTGTGGCTATTAATAGAAAATAATTTGAAACTGTAGTAATCGTGATGAGAATGTTTGAATGTCAGTAATTAATTGTGCTCAAAAACCTTCCAATAAAAGATTGTTTTACTAAGAATTTAGTGTGATTAGGTTTCATATAGAAGAGACTGTATATTTTGTGTATTCACCAATATTCACAACATAATCACAGACTGCAGTTGTCAAGGAATGATTTGGGAGATTCTTGTGTAAATCAAGGAAGAAAGGAAGAGAAGGTATGACACTTCTGGATCTGCCAGGCCAGCCTTTACAGAGTATGCTTTGCCTTTGCCAAAACCCTGTATCCCATGGTCCTTACATCAAGAGCAGAGGTCATACCTGAAGACTAGTCTCACCTGATCATAGGTCAGGGCACATAGATTTTAAAACACAAATAAGAACTGTGGGTTGAAGCATAGCATTTGGAGTAATGTTCTGCTAGTGCAGCTGTGTGCTCAAACATATTTCCTTCATTACAATTTCCTTTTGAGAATAAAATTTCAGTTGAATTACTCTAATTCAGATAAATGATGTTTGTGCTAGTCCCACAACAGGTGCTGAGTAGTGGGGACACATGATTTGGCAGATTCAAGAGTAGCCCAGCCTGTGACTTCAGATCTCTGAGACCTTGACCTTTCTCATCAGTTGGCTGAACATTTGCATGATTCCAGGGTTAGAAAATTTGCTTCTTATCTCTCAGAGATTTCTCACAGCAGCGCTATCATTCGCTTGAGTGATTTCCTTGGTCTGAGAGGAGTTCTATGTTCGTAACATGCTCAGCACAGAGACTTACTGTTTCCCTGGAAAGAAAAAGCCTCCACAAACAACTCAATCCATCCGCCCATAACTTTTCAACTGTCCACTTCAGTGACTACTTTTTTCAGTCTCTGTGCTTCACTATAGCAAGTACTGGATATCCTGTACTGCCTGTCTGCCTCCTGACCCTACAGACCCTGGGCAGCTGTGTCCCATATTATTACTGGTATGAATATGCAGAATTTTGGGAAAGTCTGATGATCTGTTCTCCTGTTACAATCTGCCTAGATCTATTTTCCCAGGAATACTTGGGGGTCAGGAAGACTGGCTGACTCATCTATAGTTGTAATTTTCTATTTATACAGGGCTGGAACACAGAAGGTGCTGGAAGATTCCAGTTGTCTGTCTCCTGAGCAAAGTCAAAGCCTGACTGGATGTCACAGACAGCAACCATAATTCAAGCCTAACATACAGAGTCCACTGTGAGTCAACTGTGTGCACATCACTGCTTCCAATCAAAATGCTTACGGTCGATAAGTCTAATGATGATAGACTCAAGGCAGCCCATATAATATCTGGAAGCTGCTATCAGTTTCTTTCTTGTCACAAGTTACAAGATAGCATCTATTTTAGAAAATATTATCACCAAACTCTGTATATCTCATTAAAACCTCATGTTATTACATAAAGAGCCATGCTCTGCTGTGTCTTTTGGCAATGATGAACAAGTCTCACTCTCCAGCTGCATAGTCTTTTGGTAAATTGAGATCTCCTTCTAATTAATCTAAATATCCAGACCTCAGAATAGCACAAAGACAGCACTTCTGAGGATAACTAATGATATCTCACAAAATTCAAATTCTGGACATCTACCAGCATGCTAAATCAAAGGGCAGTGTTCCTTTGTGAGCTGATCTGATACTAAAATTGAATGCAATTAGAGGCATGCTGAATAGTTTACCAGAAATCAAGATCACCCCTGACTCTGTAAATATTTCAGACTTACTCTAACAGAGGAAAAATAAAACCTTAGCTTCTGTTGCCTTGTCCAAACTTACTGTCAACATCACAAATTAAAGTGGGATATATAATGTGTGAACTTATGTCCTGTCAAACCCTGTGATACAGATTCTTCCTTACCTAATGATAAAAGAAGGAAGTTTTTTCTATTTATCACTATGGGGTAACCTATTGGAAACTGTCTAATGCCTGCCACAGTGTAGGATATGTTAAACAGCTGCTAAACAGCAATTTATTAGGTGCCTGTACACTATTTCTTTCTGTTGGAAATGGAAGAGAATGTGTCTTGCAGACACATAGCTTGATGGCATTAGCACACCATTAACTTGGGGTCCCCAACTTTTTTTTCCCTTGGGTAACACATTCAGTGGCAACTGTGGTCATTCATGGAGCCTGCCATTCATTGAACTTCCAGCCTAGGTGTGTGCCAAGCCTCTGCCATGCTGGAGTGATGTATAATTGCAGTCTGAAAACTAATTTCATATGCTGCATGTCCTGCTAAGCTTCCTTCAACCCAAAACAAAAAGATTTTAAAAAGTCAGACGGAGAGTTATGCTGAGCATAATTATAGAGCATAGTGGTCATTATTAATCAGTTCAATGTTGATTTGCAGATGTGCTCCTTGTGATCAGGGGACTTTTGAAAGCAATTTTGGGTGAACTGGAAAGTTTCAGCCAACAGCTATGTGTGGTTTTTTGACATCTGGACCTTTTCTCTCAAAACCAATTGCTTCATAGTTACAGTGGCAATAACAGTGCCCTATTGTTCTTCTCCTAACAAACAGGCACTGCCTTATTGCTCTTCTGCTAAATATACACCTTTGAAAAAAGATTTCTTTATTGTGTCACCTTTTCTGACCATAAAAACAAGAAACTTTCCTTTGCTATGTTTTGGTAGAAATGTTGGAAACTCCTATTAACTTTCTTGTAACATGACTGGCATTTGCTAACCAGTGGCTCCCCATAAACAACATGGCCTGAGAACCTTAGAATCACTTTATCCATTGGAATCTGTTTATTTTTGATGGAATAAATGTGCAAAACCCAGAGTCTTGCAAGGTATTACTAACAGGTGAAAAATTTAATAATTTGGTTAGGCTGTTCTCTGTATTTTTGCTCTTCACAAGTGTGCACACAGTCCTGTCTGCTTCTGCATGGGAAGAATTAAACACCCAGATCTTCAGCATTGCCTGCAAGATTCTGGCAGCTGTCAGCCTGATTCAGAAGTGTATTTGGTGCTCTTGCAATAGCAGAGGTTCAAGGGTCTTTTCCTCATTTCTTTCCAAACTCTCTTTCTCAGCATTGTTTATGTCCCATATATATCTGTAAGAAAAGGGAATCTATAAAGCCATTTGGCCTATGAAATGTAAATGCAGACTCAGGCATTCATGTTTTGGCCAGGCACATGCACTCTGGGTTTCAGCTGCTAAAGCATGAGTAACAGCCATGCAAAACCCATCCCTTAGAACTGCAGAAATTAAGCAAGGCTATACTTAACCTTGGGAGTCAGGTAACACAGGATTGCACTTCTAGCTTCCTCTCTACATGGCTGAGAATCGTTGCAAGACCTAGAAAGGAAGCATCCAGGGCATGGAAATTCTCAGTGTTTGCAAGAAATGTGTTAAGTGTAAGCTCTCTTTGCCAGTCTTTACCACTTCATTGCCAGTCTGAGGTGACAACAGAGAATCTCACTTGGATCTGATGCTCCACATGATTCTGTATTTGAGAAAATTTTGAGCAGAATTCCTGAGCAGGTATAAAGAAACTATTATTACTTTTTAATTTTCCAGAAGCCCTTTATCATCTTTTCCACCCCATTTACCAAGCCAATTCAGGTTCACTTTCCTAGTTGCAATGCACCTGAAAGAATGTCCCAACAGGCTAACAACAATTTCAGTGCTGAAACTCAGAATAGGTAAAACCCCATATTAATAGCTAGGCTGAGAAACAAAGTAGGTTTCTTCACTTCTCATGTCCAGTGAGAAGTGTTCACAAATGGAGTTGTTTCCTTTGTTCAGAACATTAAAAGGGTCTGTATCTTCTGTACCCAGCTGCCTGATTTAATGCAGAAATTTAGAACATTAACAGCCCTCCATTCTTTTATACAATTCCTTACTATTCATTCAAGACTAGTTGTGCTACTTCAGCTACTAGCAAGGACAGCATGGGGCATTAAACAAGTTCAGGGAACCAGTGCACATTTAAATCATCCCAGCAAGAGGCTCTATCTGGGAGCTAAACCAACAACATGAGCCACTTCACTGGTCCAGTTAAGGGGCTGTACAGAAGAAAGGAGTTGTGAGTCATCAAAAGAAATGTTTGCCATCCTTATTTGAACAAACTTGACTGGAATCAGCTGCTTAGCTCAGAAGCTTGCAGGGACATGTGTGCAAACACGCATGCACAGAGGAAATGAGTGAAAACAAAGCACTTCAAAGCAGGGCAAACCCAGTAAAACATTTTCAACTTAAAAGCTTATTAGATGCAGTAGGCATCTGGCTAAATCATTAGTGAAAGGTGAGGTTAGTGCAGTGCAAGGCCTGTGTCAAGTCTGTGTTTCTACAGCTTACACTGGTTCCTTACTTAGATTTTTCTAGCCCTCATCCTCCCAGAATAGTTTTGTACAAACACTGAGAGGGAATAACTGTCTTATAAGGCTAAATTACAGAATTTTCTGACCGTATGTATGTCTGCAAATACCAACCCAATACTTGAAGTTTTGGACTCAAAATTATTATAATAGGTTAGTGAAGTGAAATGAAATGAAGTGAAATGAAATGAAATGAAGTGAAATGAAATGAAACTAAATGTGAGACACTCATCAAAATTTTGAAAAATGCCTAAAAGGAAAAGGAAATATATACCACTTCAGTCACCCCATAGTGTCTAATTTGCTTGTTTTATTGAATTGTCATCAAGAAGGACATTAATACTCTTACTTGTGTATGTCACTGCTGTTTTAACAATTTAGATGACTCATCCTGAGGAAATAGAGTGAGAGACATCTATTTAGCTTTCTATTCCACTGTTTTTGGAAGCCATTAAGTTTTTCTAATTTAAAATGCAACAACAGGTAAAACATATTTGCAACTGTCCTTGAAAGGCATGGGGATAGGTGGGTAATTGATCTAACTAAAGAGAACAACTCTGTCTTCGAGATAATGAAAAAAAGCTTGGGGTTTTGAATGTGAGAAGTTCAACCAGGTGTAGAATGTACTCAATTTAACTCAGCTTCAAGTAAGTGAAGAATACACAGAGGCTTGTCTGCTAGCTGGGGAAAAGATAGAGAATTTATCTCAGATCTCTCAGTATCTGATAGTGTAATACACTAGAACTGCTGAATAATATTATTGGTGTCTAAAATGGAACTTTGTCATTGGTGTTTTAAGTTGCAGTTAAAATAGCAAAGTAATTTCTAAATTGCTAGTATTTTTCTTAGCACTGGGTTGTAAGCTTAGAGGAAACAGGTTATTCTAGACTGCGTTATGCACGGTCTATTTATATATATGGTTACTTAGAATTTTTTTCTTTTTTTTTTTTTTTCCCATTTAGTTCTGATGGTATCTGATGTCCTTGGCAGTGAGTTTCGGAAAGCATATTTCATTATTACTTTTGTCTTTTTCTCTTGGCCTTTGGAGAGCTATGAACATCTTGTAGGCAATGAGTAGTTTGGGTAGAGCAGTGAACTGAGGATTGTGCCATTTCCCCATCACCTGCCTGCTAAATTCATTTAAAAACTTGAGTTCACTGTTGTTAATCTCAATGTCTCCCACTTTCTGCTTTTTGGGCCATAGTCTGTGTGATCAAGATATGGACAAGTGACAAAGAGTGCAACTGAGTAAGAAGAACAAGCATCTTCTGCAGCTCTGGACAGCACCAGATGATGCAGATGATGCAGCTCAGATTGCTCATCAAAACCAGAGAAGTGTACTCAGGGAAAGCAGAAATCTACTTAGATATTACATACTACAAAAGTATGTTTTCACTATAGTATTAGCAGATAAAAATATCTTATCCTTGTACATGTGCTCAATAGCTGCCTTTTTGTATCAGTGAGGACAGGAGTGGGACATCTTTATTTTGGAGACAGAAAATAATAAATGCTTTAAAAAGAAATTACCGTAGTTGCTAAAATCTGCTTTTGCAGAAGAGATCTGTAAAAAGCAGGAAATTCTACTATCAAAGCTGAAAAATAATTAAAAAATAATTCTTCAGGTCCTGTGACCTAATATTCAAATACATATCACAGCTCTGGATAAAAGAAAATAACTGCATGAGAAGTGACACAATTCTCACAGATTGCCCACTACATCTTAATTAGACTATCTTCCTCCTTTCAGGAGTTTAATGTGAGCTGTTGTAATACTGACAGTAAGATTTCTCATATCTTTTCCTCTAGTTTTTTTCAATATTGTTCTAAGCTCATTAGTTAAATAAGTCTATGATGCAATGATGAGATACAGAAGAAGCAAGGAAGATTGGCATCCTTTTTTTCTTTTTTTTTTTTTTCTCCATAAAGTCACATTTTTACCAGTTTTGGTGACTGAGACAATTCTGTAGCTGTGAGTACAGGCCTAGAGAAGACTGCTTTGGG